TAAGAGGGAGGAGGAAATAAGGAGGAAAAGGGAAAAAAAAGACATTTTTTGCTTTGTCTCCTTGGGCGAGTCTCGTGCAATTGTTCGGGGAATTCCCATTATTTAAAAAAAAAGTGGATTTCCAAAGTTCCGAGATTCCTTCTTTCCCCTCCTTTTTATTTTTTTATCCCCCGGGGGGTGAAAAGTTCGCCTTCTCTTTTATTATTTATGATTTATCGGTGATTTATCGGTGATTTATTGATGATGGATGTGGGTTTTATTAATTAATTAATGATTTTTGGGGGGTTTGTTTTGCGCCCCGAGGCTTTTCCCCACCCCTTTTCCCTCGATTTCATCCCAATAAAAAGCTCTCCAGGGAATGAGGGAGGGGAAAAAATGTCATTTTTTAGCATTTCTTGGCATTTCTTGGCATTTTTTATCCAGAGCCTCACCCTCGAGGAGATCGGAAATTGCGGATTTAACAGCGGGAAATGAAACGCGGGGCGAAAAAATGGATAAAAAGCTGATTTTTGTCGTATTTGGGAGATTTTCTGGGAATTCTGGAGGTCACGGAATGAGAAATCCCTGGGAAAAAAAAATAAAAATAAATAAGATTTATTTTTTAAAGGAAACTGCAAAAAAAAAAAGGTGAAGTGACTAAAAAAAAAAAAAAAAAAAAAAAAAGGCACGATAAGAGGAAATAATTGTAAAAAAAGAGGAAATTGTTTGTTTTAAAAAGTAAATAATCATGAAAAATAGAAATAATCGTTTCAAAAGGGAAATAATCGTAAAAGAAGGGGAAATGATCGTAAAAAAAAGGAAAATAATCGTAAAAAAGGTGAAATAATCGTAAAAAAAGGGAAATAATCCTAATAAAAAGGAGCCCGGGGAGGTTTTTTTTCCCCCTCCCATCCTTTGCCTCTCTCCAGGATGGAATTTATGAGGGAAAAAAAAAAGGCACAAAAAAACACCAAAAAACCCCAAAAAAGTGAAGAAAAAGCCAAAAAAAGCGCCGGGAAGGAGCAGCAGGAGCGGCCGGGGGGGTCGAAAATTCCGATTTTTCCAGGATTTTCTTCCCCCCCCGCGCCTTTGAGGAAGAGCCGGCAGCAATAAATTGTGGGAAAAGAGAAAAAAAAAATTAAAAAGCATAAAAAAACCGAGGAAAGACCGAGAGGGAGAAAATAGAAATAAATAAAAATTGAAAAATCCAAGGAATGTAAACTTTGGAGCGCTGGAGGAGGAGTGGCCCAAAAATATCCCGGAATGGCCAGGGGAAAATGAGGTTTTATTTAATTTATTTGAAAATTTGGGTGCTTTTTGTTTAGGGAGAAAAAGGAGAAGGTTGGGAAGGGGGGGTGGGAGGAAAGAGGGGAAAAGGGAGAAAAAAGGGGGGAAAAATGGGAAAAAAAGGGGAAAAAACGGAGGAAAAGGGGAAAATAGGGAGGAAAATGGGGAGAAAAAGAAAATTAAAAGGAAGGAAAAGGGGATTAAAGGGAAGGGAAAGGGAGGAAAGGGGAAAATTAAAAGAAATTAAAATAAGGAAAAGGAATGGCAGAAAATAAATTTTTGAAAAATTTAGGGAAGAAAAGGGGAAAAGGGAAGAAAATGGAAAAAATAAATAAAGAAAAAAACAGGAAAATTTAGAAAATTAAAGAAAGGAAAATAAAAGGGCGAAAATAGATAATTTTAATTGAAATTATTTCGCTATTTAAAGCAACCCCGCGCAGAGGCGCGCACGAAACGCGCCCTGGAATGAAGGGCAAAAATCAAAAATAATTCTGAAAATAAAGAAATCAACTTGAAAAAGGAGGAAAAGGAGGGGGAAAAGGAATAAAAAACTTGGGCAGAAGGAGAAATCCCGCGGTGCCGCCGAGCAGCGCTAGGTGCCGCTGCCGCCCCGCCCCGCAAAAAAACCCCAAAAAAATAAAAAAAAGAAATAAAAAGCCAACCCTGGGGTCACGGATTTGAGGAGCGGCCGCCGCCCCCTGCACGTGACGCCCCCAGAAAAAATAAAAATCCCAGATTTGGGAAGGGAGGGGGGCGGAAAATCCCGGGAATCTGCGCCGGGAATTTCCGCGGCTCGGGAGGGACCCCCCGGCCCCGTCTCGCTGGTTTTATTTTTCATTTTTAATCATTGACTTTAGATTTTTTTTTTATTTTTCCCCATTTTTAATACTTATTTTTCTATTTTTAAAAAATTTTAAAAGAATTTATTTTGCTTTTTTGCTATTTATAACATTTACAAATAATTTATTTTTAATTTTTGATCTATTTTAAAGGTTTTTTTTATCCCTCCACTGGGTGAAGGCGGAATTTCAAAGAGTCAGGAACCGGCCCGGAATTCAAGAGGTTTTTGGGGAAAAAGGGGGGAAAAGTAGAGGGAAAGGAGGAAAAATGGGAGAGGGAAAAAAAAGGGTGGAAAAGGAGATTAAAGAGGGGAAAATGGGGTAAAACAAGGGGAAAAAGGAGCGGGAAAGGAGAGGAAAAAAGAGAGGGGGAAAAGGGATTAAAAAGAAGGAAAAAGGAGATTACAAAGGGGGAAAAGGAGATTAAAAGACGAGGAAAAAAGCGAGGAAAAAGAAGGGGCAAAGTGGGTTATAAAGAAGGAAAATGAGATTAAAAAGAGAGGAAAAAGGGGATAAAAATGAGGAGAAAATGAGCTAAAAAAGGGGGAAGAAAGAGATGAAAGAGAAAGAAAAGGGAGATAAAAGAGAGGAAAAAGAGATTTAAAAAGGGAGGGAAACGGAGATGAAAGAGGAAAAACAGAGAGAAAGAGAAAATCTGGAGATAAAAGGGAGGAAAAACTTGGAGAAAAGAAAGGAAAAACATTGAAAAACGAGGAAAAAGAGATAAAAGGGAGGGAAAAGAGGTAAAAATGAGGAAAACGAGGAAAAAGAGAGGAAAAAGAGGTAAAAATGAGGAAAAAGAGCTAAAAAATGAGGAAAAAGAGCTAAAAAATGAGGAAAAAGAGGTAAAAATGAGGAAAAAGAGATAAAAGAGAGGAAAAAGAGGTAAAAATGAGGAAAAAGAGGTAAAAAATGAGGAAACCCCCTCCCGCGCTGTTATTTTTGTTAAAATTCGGAGTTTTTCGATCCCTGCCTCCCTCCCCCTCCCTCCGCGCAGCCGCCCCTCCCCCCCCCAGCCCCGCCGGCCTTTTCCATGGAAAACGATGGAAATTTGGGAATTGCGGAGGCGCCGGGAGCGCCCCCGCCGCCTTCCTCCTCCTCCTCCTCCTCCTCCTCCTTCTGCTCCGCGCGGAGCTCCCGGCCCGGAGCGCGGAATTCCCGCAATTCCCGGAGCAGCGCGGAATTCCGGGAGCAGCGCGGAATTCCCGGACCGTGGCACAGAATTCCCAGAATTCCCGGAATTCCGGGAGCAGCGCGGAATTCCCGCAATTCCCGGAGCAGCGCGGAATTCCCAGAGCAGCGCGGAATTCCCGGAGCAGTTCGGAATTCCCGCAATTCCCGGAGCAGCGCGGAATTCCGGGAGCAGCGCGGAATTCCCGCAATTCCCGGAGCAGCGCGGAATTCCCGGAGCAGCGCGGAATTCCCGCATTCCCGGGACCGTGGCACAGAATTCCCGGAATTCCCGGAGCAGTTCGGAATTCCCGCAATTCCCGGAGCAGCCCCGGGGCCGCCCCCGCTGCGCCTGAGCCGGGTAAAAACTTCCCCCCCCTCGAGAAACTTCATTTTCCCCTTTTCCCCTGAATTTCCCTTTTTTCTCCTCGATT